AGAAATCATGCACACTCCAAACTCAGTCAAAAACCGAAAAACTCCATAAAATTCACTGTGTGTGCTCCTTTAAGACCCATCACCTATGAACTGTTTAAAAAACCCTAAATTCAACATAACAACCCCCTTTATAAACATCATACTAGGTGTGTTGTTTTTTATTTTGAAAAACCCAATTGAAAAACAACAATCAAAGATAGCCAGGCCCCACTTAATTTGGTAGCTCCCTTTTACGACCTAAATACTGCCTAACTTCACTACTGCTCCCCCTCGGCAACATTCCAATGAGATAAACTAATCTCTTTCTCCTGGTTATACATTTTGTCAACCTTCAATTACCATCAATAATCTAAAGATGGTAAGTACACACAAAACATGATACAGATATCCCCAGTCCTAACTCATCAATAATCGTTTGTATCAATCTAATTCCTCATAACTAATCTCACAATTATTATTGAACCCCTCAATCTGCTCCATTTGATCTCATCTCAAATGATCCATTATCAATTATTTTATCAACCCCTTACGAAAATCTGTCTCCCCTTCTATTGTTCCTTTTGCCCCTGTAAATGTCATATCTCATTCATTAGCCAAAACAATCACATACTCCGTGTAAGTAAGACATTATATTTTATCCCAGGCATCCCCTTAACATAATGCTATAGGAGACTTCCATCAATCCTGGAAGACACTATATAATACCACGTTTCATTAAGTTCACTATACCTTCTAATATAACCCTATAACCCCTTTCTATTAATTTAATCATCGCAACCTGTTACATTGATGTTTTTAAAATATAAACCTATTGTTTAATAACTTCATACTTATAACCAATGTTTATTCAATCCATCATCCTAATAGTAAAAACAATATCCCATTGTTCACGTAACGAAACTTATTTTCATACACCACTGGTGTTACCCAACCTATACAATAAAGTAATAACCATTAGACTTCGTCAAATAAATGCTTTTCATTCAACCATTCCACCTTTTGCTCGATACCGTCAAGCAAGTACAACCCTTTTACCCGGGAACTAGAACCATAAATTATTTTCCTTTGTCCTCAACTTAAATAATTTTCACAGCTCTATCGCCATTTCAGTTCGCTATTCAATTTCTTTAACTGTTCTCTCTGATTAGGCCCTAATTAATAAAACAAATACTTGCTATCGTTGATAAGCATACATTTAATTATATTCCTATCATTTAAACTATGTACTGGCCTAGCCAGTCTCCAGACCTGAACCCAATAGAAAATCTTTGGAGGGAGCTGAAAGTCCATATTGCCCAGCGACAGCCCCGAAACCTGAAGGATCTGGAGAAGGTCTGTATGGAGGAGTGGGCCAAAATCCCTGCTGCAGTGTGTGCAAACCTGGTCAAGACCTACAGGAAACATATGATCTCTGTAATTGCATACAAAGGTTTCTGTACCAAATATTAAGTTCTGCTTTTCTGATGTATCAAATACTTATGTCATGCAATAAAATGCAAATTAATTACTTAAAAATCATACAATGTGATTTTCTGGATTTTTGTTTTAGATTCCGTCTCTAACAGTTGAAGTGTACCTATGATAAAAATTACAGACCTCTACATGCTTTGTAAGTAGGAAAACCTGCAAAATCGGCAGTGTATCAAATACTTGTTCTCCCCACTGTATGGGTTAATCCGTTTCTTGATATGCCGCACATGTCAGGTGGACGGATGATTTTGGCAAAGGATAAATGCTCACTAACAGGGAAGTAAACAAATTTGTGCACATTTGAGAGAAATAAGCTTTTTGTGCATATGGAACATTTCTGGGATATTTTATTTCAGCTCATGAAACATCGGACCAACACTTTACATGTTGCGTTTATATTTTTGTTAAGTATAAATATGTATATTTGCTCAAACAACGACTTGACAATGCCAGCTGGTGGCATTGAGAGATGGCATTTCAAATGTATGATGACTAATTTCAGAGAACAGGAATTATGTATTTATTTGCTTCATGTCAAATCTCTGAATTACTACAAAACATGAATAATGAAGAGGAACAGAAAAACAATGTACTGTACTGATTGAAATGTGCATACAAGTGCATCTGTGCATAAACACACACACACAAACAAATATGCCATCTATATTTACATTATTCATTATAGGACACTGTCAACATGGTATGAACATGCCTGTCCTGGACTCTTGTCAGCTATCCCCCCCCCCCCCCCCCCCCCCCCCCCCCCCCCCTTCAAATGACAAGGCAAAAGGAGAGAAGGAGACAAAAGGAAACACTACAGGTGGAGATGCCTGTGCTTGTCTGAAGTGTGTGTATTCCTTTCCTGAAATTATCATCAGAAAATCTGGTGAGCTTTGGGAAGGACAATATCTAATGTGTGAGTGAAGGTACATGGCAGATCTGGTAAATTACGTATCCTTCTAGAACGTTTTCTTATTTCTTCTGCTCAGAAGATGGTGAGAAAGTGGTAAATCCAGTAGAACACCACATTCCCATGTCATTCATACTAACACAGGTGCATGTTGACATGTGTCTGGATGGATACATTTCTAAAGCAGATTTTCTATACTTCAGAAGCTTCCGTTTGTTATACACCAGAACAGGGGTTCCCAAAAGTTTTTGCTTCGTGACCCACCAGTTAAGGTGTCTGTTGAGTCGTGACCTACCATAAGGTCTAAGCGATGAAAAAACATACTCAGATCAAAGAATAAGTACAAAATGTATTAATAAAACCCTCTTTTCCAAAACATTTAACTGGGCACAGACGTCAATTCAACATCTATTCCACTTTGGTTCAACGTAATTTTATTGAAATGGCGTGGAAACAACGTTGATTCAACCAGTGTGTGCCCAGTGAGTTGTGACCAATTTAAAGAAATGTACTGTATAATAATGAAATAATTTGTAACAACGTACCAAATAATTGCATCCTGCAACCCACTTGGACTCCTGCTGTGACCTACAAGTGGGAACCACTGCACCAGAAGACTCTCTTTCGTAAATGTTGTATAAAATAAACACAGTACCATACATCAGCGGTATCTTTTATCAGAGACTTTATAATCATGTTTAAATGAAAACAGACTTATAACGCAGAAGGTTGTTGTGATGATAGCTGTCAGGTTGGAAAGACTCAGACCAGTGGTTCTAATGTGAAGCAGGCAGAAAAAATTGAACCACCATCATCATCATCAGTTGAACAATGGAAATCACTGTCCAAATCCCTTCAACTAATTAACTTCAGAGAGTGGAATTCAATCAAACCTGTCATTACGCAGTGTCTTGGTTGACAAACTACTGCCCCCACACACATGCAGAACACTTCTCATTCTGAAAATGGGAAGCATCTGCTTGGGGAGTCTATCTGGTATTAGTCACAGATTCCCATGGAAGAGGAGCTACAGTGCCGTGTAAATAGGCTACTGCAATCAGGGTTCAATTGAACTGAGATCTTACTTAGTGTTAAATATCCCTTTCAGGAAAGAAAAATCTAAAGCTGACATATCACACAAAATTGTATCTGTATTAAATTATTCCTCTATTCAAAAAGAACAAAATAAAAAGTTATCTAATGTATCACTGGCTCCTTGGGGTATTTCATAACAAATTACTTGTCAAGAAACTATTTGTAGTTTGATTTTAGGAAACAATATTCTGATGCAAGGGTGCCATCTAGTGGTCATGATGCACAATAACATTATGTAATCCTGCTGTCAGGTTCCATGATAGAGGAAGTGTCAGTATAAAATGTTTTGCTGCCTTCGTACTTCAGTGTGACTGTGACCCTTACTTTATCATTCATATCATCTCATTAAAATCTGTCATCCTAACATTGTTTCTCTCCAACCATTACAGTGTTTCAACTCTCTAAACTCAAACTGTGCCATTATTGAAATTATTCTTTCAGTATGTGTTTATTTCCATATTGAATTGATAAAGAAATTGAGAGACATGCACTTTGGTCAAACTAACCCTTCTGTTCGAGGTAGCATATAAAAATGCAATTACTCTCACTTCCCATTCAAAGGTGTGCATGGATAGAAGCGTTCCTTATTATGATGCTTGGAGTAGAAAACAGAGTGGGATAGACCCTAGATAGACAGAATGCACTAGACCAGAGAAACAAGGATATTATTCCTGGGTTAGATCCCAGATCAGATGGATGAGCATGAATCTCCTCAAGCATGGGCCAGTCAGGGGCGACACAGAGGGTTCAAACAAAATATATCATTCAACCCCAAACCACCTGGGAAACCATTGGCACAGACACCCAGGGAGAATAAACCGCACATTTAGAGTCTTGTATGTGTTCATTTTCCGGGGTTGGAAAGGGAGCACCCATGCGTTGTGTCTCTGAAGGGGTTGTCACATGCTGAGACGTGTCCTCTCTACTGAATGACTGTCAATCCCCATCCTCAAAGTCCCCCTTGGTCCCCCCAATCCCCATTAGTCTGAACAACAGAGCTCAGTCCAGCTCAAACTGTATAGTGCAAAGGGAAGGACAGAGTATACATGCCTCTGATCTCTTCACAACAGTATGGAACTTGTTCACCTCATTTAGTCCTATGAGGGCGTAAGGCTAGTTCTTCTTCTTTTTTCAAAATGTCAACCAATTGTACCATAGATAGGAATTCAGCATCTCTTTGCTCTATTTCTTCAACAAAAGGACTCAGTGGCGACTCGTCAGATAAGATTTGAGGCACAAAACGCACATATATCCCTTAAATTTATCTCAACCTTGAGTTTACAATCAAGAGTACACAACTGAAGATAAATTATGATTAAGTTAATATAAATGACAGCTTTGCTCCGTTTGAATGACAATCCCTCTAGAGTGAAACAAGCAAGGTCGATTTTCAAGGGGAGGCGTGTAATGTGGTTGTCTAAAATCTTATCCGATGGGACACATCGGGCGAGGGCTTCTTTGGCAACTCAGAAAGAGCATGAATCTTGAACGAGAGGAGAAACAACAGGTTAACAAAACAGGGGATTTAATTGTGAGTCAAACACTGGAAGCGGTTCTTGAAATAGAGGAGGCCGTTTTTGGTGTGTGTGGCATCCGAGGAGGCTGGTGGGTAGCGGAACTTGGCATACGTCTTGTCACTCTCTGATTGGCTGACCCAGGGAAGCTTGATCTTGGTGGCGTGGTTGACGATGACATTATCACAGGATCCCACGTGAAGTGAGCCAAGGCCATCAATGAAAAACTCTGTGACAAGAACCAAGGAGTCAGAGCAAAAGGAACGAGGTTAGTTTTTATGCTAAGGGAACTTCAAGTATCATACAATTTATATGTACAAATGCAACTAACAAACATTTGAGAATAAGCTATTCCTGTCCCTTCTTGAGCTTTTTGATACATGTTAATTAATTACTATTCAGACTGGTTTTGAAGAACTGTTACCTATATCACTTTCTTCCAAATGTAGATGGTGCAGCTCGGGGGTTAAATTGTGAATTCGGACATGGACGAGCCCTATTTGGAGGGTTAGGTTCAGGGTTGAGCCAGGGTTAAACACAAGGTTATGGTTATGCCAAGATTAGGGTTTAGGGTTAGAGTTATGCCAAGATTAGGGTTAGGGTTATGGCTAGGGTTAGGGTTGAATCGGGGTGTGGACATGAAGCTAGGGTTAGGCTTAGGGACATGGCTAGGGTTGGGTATAGGGTTGAACCAGGATGTGGACACAAAGCTATGGTTAGGGTTAGTACTTTTATCCAACTTTCTATCCTACTCCTCTTTGGACCCATAAGGTGCAGGAGCCCGGCTCTGGGTAGCACCCAGGTGGGCCACTGGTACAGCTGATGTTATGGACAGGTACACTCTGTGTGGTGGTGGGATTTGGGTCTGTACTCACCCAGGTGGGCCACTCTGGCCAGACGTGGGTCAAAGCCCACTTGCTGGACCTTGTCTGTGCGGGCCAGGAAGAAGTTGATGACCCCGTCAGTGACCACGCAGTTTGGGAAGCCCTGGATGATGTGGTGGAAGCCCCTCCGCATGTGCAGACAGTCCCCCTCCTCCTCCCCTGGCTCAATGGAGATGGTCTGCCTGTAGGTGGCAGTGTAGCCTGTGGCCTCCCGCACTGCACCACCCACCTAAATTAAACACCCACACACAGAGTCAGTGCATAAAACACAGATAGTGCATATAAACGATGCATTAACTGATTCTGACACACACATACACACAAAGCACATTCAGTGCATTCAGAAAGTATTCTGACCCCTTGACTTTTTCCAGATTTTGTTACGTTACAGCCTTATTCTAAAATTCATAAAATTGATTTTTTCCCCTCATCAATGACATTCCCCTCACTCAATACCCCATAATGACAAAGCAAAAACAGGTTTTTAGAAATTTTGGCTAATTTATTACAAATAAGAACAAAAATATCACATTTACATCAGCATTCAGACCCTTTACTCAGTACTTTGGTGAAGCACCTTTGGCAGTGATTACAGCCTTGAGTCTTCTTGGGTATGACGCTACAAGCTTGGCACACATGTATTTGGGGAGTTTCTCCTATTCTTCTCTGCAGATCCTCTCAGCCTCTATCAGGTTGGATGGGGAGAATCACTGCGCAGCTATTTTCAGGTCTCTCCAGAGATGTTCGATCGGGTTAATGTCCGGGCTCTGGCTGGGCCACTGAAGGACATTCAGAGACTTGTCCCGAAGCCACGGCTGCTGTGTGCTTAGGGTCGTTGTCCTGTTGGAAGGTGAACCTTCGCCCCAGTCTGAGGTCCTGAGCGCTCTGGAGCAGGTTTTCATCAAGGATCTCTCTCTGTACTTTGCTCCGTTCATCTTTCCCTCTATCCTGACTAGTCTCCCAGTTCCTGCCGCTGAAAAACATCCCCACAGCATGATGCTGCCACCACCATGCTTCACCGTAGGGATGGTACAAGGTTTCCTCCAGACATGACGCTTTCAGGTCAAAGAGTTCAATCTTGGTTTCATCAGACCAGAGAATCTTGTTTGTCATGGTCTGAGAGTCCTTTGGGTGCCTTTTGGAAAACTCCAAGCGGGCTGTCATGTGCCTTTTACTGAGGAGTGGCTTCTGTCTGGCCACTCTACCATAAATGCCTGATTGGTGGAGTGCTGCAGAGATGGTCGTCCTTCTGGAAAGTTTTTTATTTTTAATAAATTTGCTAACATTTCTAAAAACCTGTTTTCGCTTTGTCATTATGGGGTATTTTGATGAGTTATTTAATCTATTTTAGAATAAGGCTGTAACGTAACAAAATATGGAAAAAGTCAAGGGGACTGAATATTTTCCCGAATGCACTGTATACTGTGTACAAAACAAACATTAGTGGTACTTCCAATTGTCTGACTGAAGTTGATATTGAGTGCATGCTGTAGTGATTTGATATATGAATTCAGAAGGAAACCGATGGAAACAGTTGGATCCTTGATCACTTCTTCTTTCCAAAGGACACAATAAACAAAATAGGAACCAGAAAAACGAGAAGTATCTCTGTCCCATGTTTGTCTGTCTGTGCCTCTGGGGTCCGAAGAAAGAAGGGATTCAAAGTGTCCACCAGAACAGCTGCTGACATGTGTAACCCATAGACTCCCCTCTCAAGAGTTGGAGTCCCAGTCTATGGTACACAAGAGGTCTATTCTATTCCCCCAGCACACAGTAAGTCTCTGTGTGGGATTCAGGCTCTAGCCAAAACACCCTTCACCCTCAAACAGACACAAACAGATCATTCATTACAAGCCTTATGTGTGGGTGTCAGCTTTTGTGGCTTTTGTGCTAGGATTGTGTGCATGTGTGTGTGTGACGTGTGTGTGTGCATGCATGCGTGCCTGCATGTGTGCGTGTTTGTGTGAGTGTGCACGCGCGCATTAGTAATATTGCTGTGGTGTGCATGTGCTACAGAGCAAGAATATGCCTGTACACATCAGTGAAGAAGAGAGGATGAGAGAGAGGAAGAGTGTGTTGAGAGATTGCTTGCATCCGTGTTTGAGTTTGTTTTCTTCTGTAAGTAGAGAACAAGGCCAGGATTCAATCTTATCACGCTTTTAGACAATGCAGCTTTTAAAGGCAATGTTACCGCATTCGTGAGATGATAGACTGGATGTGGCTAGCTAGGTCATCCACATCAACAGAGTGGAATGCCTCCTCCTCATTTGTCATCTTCAGAAGACAGCTAACATAGTTTATTTCAATACTCTTTTCATTGAAATCATGATAAGTTGTGTCTGTCTGGCAAAATGACTGGAATGTTGATTGTGTTTCCTCATGCTACCCAAGATAGAATGTGGTGAATCTGCAGAGTAAATCCCAGTGAGTAACCAATGTGTTCAGAGTCCAGAGAATGCTTCTGAACTGGCTTTGACTGTTGCACAGAAAGTGGACCATTGTTGAATTATTGGCACTAACACTCAAAGTATTTCAACAATTTCAAATAGTATTTGAACCCAGGTCTACAATACAGTATGACACGGCCTGTGCCCCCTCACCAGGTCCAGGGTGGTCCTCTCCAGGACGTCAACCAGTTTCTCCAGCTTGGTGTTGGCCGTGAAGATGAAGTCATCGTCCACCCACAGCACATACTTGGTAGTCACCTGGGAAACGGCTAGGTTCCTTCCTGCAAACCAGCCCTAGTTGTTGTGACACAGAGAACATGATGTGAGAAAGAGGAAGCAGAAACAGTGACAGGACAACCAAGGAAATCACAGACAGGACTTTTTTTCAAGAATGTTTCTTCAAAACTTTTTCACTAAAGGGCATCTGTCAAGTATCATTTAAGCAAACAATGTTAGTGTTAGACACATTTTTGACTTGACAGGTACAGTTGAAGTCGGAAGTTTACATACACTTAGGTTGGAGTCATTAAAACTCATTTTTCAACCACTCCACAAATTTCTTGTTAACAAACTATAGTTTTGGCAAGTCGGTTAGGACATCCATTTTTCCAACAATTGTTTACAGACAGATTATTTCACTTATAATTCACTGTATCACAATTCCAGTGGGTCAGAAGTTTACATACACTAAGTTGACTGTGCCTTTAAACAGCTTGGAAAATTCCAGAAAATGATGTCATGACTTTAGAAGCTTCTGATAGGCTAATTGACATCATTTGAGTCAATTGGAGGTGTACCTGTGGATGTATTTCAAGGCCTACCTTCAAACTCAGTGCCTCTTTGCTTGACATCATGGGAAAATCAAAAGAAATCAGCCAAGACCTCAGAAAAAAATGGTAGACCTCCACAAGTCTGGTTCATCCTTGGGAGCAATTTCCAAATGCCTGAAGGTACCACGTTCATCTGTACAAACAATAGTATGCAAGCAGGGGCGGTGTGTTCAATAGGGCGATATGGGCGACGCACTGCCAAACGGGAAAAGGAAGGGATTTTTTTTCTAATCAATTATATCACGGCAACAGTAGTTATCAGTGTTCTAATCTGATCTGACTGCCACTAAATGTCCAATCAGGCTAAAGTCGTGCTTCAAATGCCCCCCCCCCCCCCTTTTGGGGCGATTTCAGTCAGGTTGAAAATCGCCCAGAAGTCTGTCATAGACTCCCATGTAAAATCTATTTTTTTCAAATTTCAGAGCTTTCAATACAATCTCTATGGGTTTCTGAGGGCTTGCACTTACGCGCTTTCGTCATACGTAACGTAACCATGAACGTAACTAAGAAAATAGCGGGTAGCAGCGTCTCTGTTGCGACCTGCAGTGTGGCGTTATCTTATGTTTTTAATTTGTACACTTAGTGGCGTTATTTTATGTTTTTAATTTGTACACTTAGTTTACAAACATTCTGCCAACCATGGATTTCCAGTGGTGGGTTTTGGACTGATCTTGTTGATCGTGTACATACCCGCTACGAACGGACTAAATAATGAAAACGCTGCTGGCAGCGGAATCCAATACAGCAGAACAAACTTCCCTTACCCACCACCTTGCTGATTAATGCCCAGTCACTGAGGGGGAAAGCGGATGAGTTGTCAGCGAATCTGCGCTTCCAACACGAATATCGGGAGGCCTGTTTGCTGGCATTTACTGAGACTTGGCTGGATGACAGAGTCCCGGACAGAGAAGTGGAGCCGGCCGGCTTCACCCTGGTCAGAGCGGACCGCGATCTGACAGTCACAGGGAAAATCGATCCTGGTAAGAGAGCGACTCTGTACCCCCGACATTGAACTGCTTTCTGTGTCACTGCGACCTTACTATCTGCCCCGTGAGTTCCCCCAATTGTTTGTTACCGTTGTGTACATTCAACCAAAAGCTAATATAACAAAGGCATCAGAGATTATTTATAATCTGTCACAGAAACTGGAATCCACCTCCCCAGATCAGTCAATAAATGCTTCTGGTATTGACTTATATGCTGCCCCTGTCTTCATGTTGTTGCTGGACATATCTTTTTTAAAATGTGTGTAGGTCACCTAAATCATCAGAAAAATTGCCCCCCCTGAGAATTTTTTCAGGAGCCGCCACTGTATGCAAGTATAAACACCATGGGACCACGCAGCCGTCATACTGCTCAGGAAGGAGACACGTTCTGTCTCCTAGAGATGAACGTACTTTGGTGTGAAAAGTGCAAATCAATCCCAGAACAACAGCAAAGGACCTTGTGAAGATGCTGGAGGAAACAGGTACAAAAGTATCTATATCCACAGTAAAACGAGTCCTATATCGACATAACCTGAAAGGCCGCTCAGCAAGGAAGAAGCTACTGCTCCAAAACCGCCATAAAAAAGACAGATTACAGTTTGCAACTGCACATGGGGACAAAGATCGTACTTTTTTGAGAAATGTTCTCTGGTCTGATGAAACCAAAATAGAACTGTTTGGCCATAATGACCATCATTATGTTTGGAGGAAAAAGGGGAGACTTGCATGCCGAAGAACACCATCTCAACCGTGAAGCACGGGGGTGGCAGCATCATGCTGTGGGGGTGTTTTGCTGCAGGAGGGACTGGTGCACTTCACAAAATAGATGGCATCATGAGGAAGGAAAATTATGTGGATATATTGAAGCAACATCTCAAGACATCCGTCAGGAAGTTAAAGCTTGGTCGCAAATGGGTCTTCCATATGGACAATGACCCCAAGCATACTTCCAAAGTTGTGGCAAAATGGCTTAAGGACAACAAAGTCAAGGTATTGGAGTGGCCATCACAAAGCCCTGACCTCAATCCTATAGAAAATATGTGGGCAGAACTGAAAAAATGAGTGCGAGTAAGGAGGCCTACAAACCTGACTCAGTTACACCAGCTCTGTCAGGAGGAATGGGCCAACATTCACCCAACTTACTGTGGGAAGCTTGTGGAAGGCTACCCGAAACATTTGACCCAAGTTAAACTATTTAAAGGCAATGCTACCAAATACTAGTTGAGTGTATGTAAACTTCTGACCCACTGGGAATGTGATGAAAGAAATAAAAGCTGAAATAAATCAATCTCTCTACTATTATTCAGACATTTCACATTCTTAAAATGAAGTGGTGATCCTAACTGACCTAAAACAGGGAATTTTTACTAGGATTAAATGTCAGGAATTGTGAAAAACTGAGTTTAAATGTATTTGGCTAAGGTGTATGTAAACTTCCAACTTCAACTGTACACGTACACTGTATCCCATCCCTTCCAATTTGTATAAGGCCATAAGTAAACAGGAAAATGCTCATCCAGATGCAGCGCTCCTAGTGGCCGGGGACTTTAATGCAGGGAAACTTAAATCCTTTCTACCTCATTTCTACCAGCATGTTAAATGTGCAACCAGAGGGGAAAAAAAACTCTAGACCACCTTTACTCCACACACAGAGACGCATACAAAGCTCTCCCTCGCCCTGCATTTGGCAAACCTGACCATAACTCTATCCTCCTGATTCCTGCTTATAAGCAAAAACTAAAGCAGGAAGCACCAGTGACTCTGTTAATAAAAAAGTGGTCAGATGATGCAGATGCTAAGCTACAGGACTGTTTTGCTAGCACAGACTGGAATATGTTCCGGGATTCTTCAGATAGCATTGAGGAGTACACCACATCAGTCACTGGCTTCATCAATAAGTTTACAGTGACCGTACGTACCCCAATCAGAAGCCATGGATTACAGGCAACATCCGCACTGAGCTAAAGGGTAGAGCTGCCGCTTTCAAGGAGCGGGACTCTAACCCGGACGCTTATAAGAAATCCCGCTATGCCCTCCGACGAACCATCAAACAGGCAAAGAGTCAATACCGGACTAAGATTGGATCGTACTACACCGGCTCTGACACTCGTCGGATGTGGCAGGGCTTGAAAACTATTACAGACTACAAAAGGAAGCACTGCCGCGAGCAGACCCAGTGACACAAGCCTACCAGATGAGCTAAATCACTTATATGCTCGCTTCGAGGCAAGCAACACTGAAGCATGCATGAGAGCATGACTATGTGATCACGCTCTCCGTAGCCGATGTGAGTAAGATTTTTAAGCAGGGCAACATTCATAAGGCCGCAGGGCCAGACGGATTACCATGACGTGTACTTGGAGCATGTGCTGACCAACTGGCAAGTGTCTTCACTGACATTTTCAACATGTCCCTGACTGAGTCTGTAACACCAACATGTTTCAAGCAGACCACCATAGTCCCTGTGCCCAAGGACACTAAGGTAACCTGCCTAAATGACTACCAACCCGTAGCACTCACGTCTGTAGCCATGAAGTGCTTTGAAAGGCTGGTCATAGCTCACATCAACACCATTATCCCAGAAACCCTAGACCCACTCCAATTTGCATACCGCCCCAACAGATCCACAGATGATGCAATCACTATTGCACTCCACACTGCCCTTTCCCACCTGGACAAGAGGAACACCTACGTGGGAATGCTGTTCATTGACTACAGCTCAGCATTCAACACCATAGTGCCCTCAAAGCTCAACACTAAGCTAAGGATCCTGGGACTAAACACCTCCCTCTGCAACTGGATCCTGGACTTCCTGACGGGCCGCCCCCAGGTAAGTAACAACACATCTGCCACGCTGATCCTCAACACGGGGCCCCTCAGGGGTGCGTGCTCAGTCCCCTCCTGTACTCCCTGTTCACCCATGACTGCATGGCCAGAAACGACTCCAACACCATCATTAAGTTTGCTGACAACACAACAGTGGTAGGCCTGATCACCGACAATGATGAGACAGCCTATAGGGAGGAGGTTCGAGACCTGGCCGTGTGGTGCGAGGATAACAACCTCTCCCTCAACGTGATCAAGACAAAGGAGATGATTGTGGACTACAGGAAAAAAAAGAGGACTGAGCAGGCCCCCATTCTCATCGACGGGGCTGTAGTGGAACAGGTTGAGAGCTTCAAGTTCCTTGGTGTCCACATTACCAACGAACTATCATGGTCCAAACACACCAAGACAGTCGTGAAGAGGGCACAACAAAGCCTATTCCCCCTCAGGAGCCTGAAAAGATTTGGCATGGGTCCTCAGATCCTCAAAATGTTCTACAGCTGCACCATCGAGAGCATCCTGACTGGTTGCATCACCGCCTGGTATGGCAACTGCTCGGCCTCCGACCACAAGGCACTACAGAGGGTAGTGCGTATGGCCCAGTACATCACTGGGGCCAAGCTTCCTGCCATCCAGGACCTCTATACCAGGATGTGTCAGAGGAAGGCCCTAAAAATTGTCAAAGACTCCAGCCACCCTAGTCATAGACTGTTCTCTCTGCTACCGCACGGCAAGCGGTACCGGAGCGCCAAGTTTAGGTCCAAAAGGCTTATCAACAGCTTCTACCCCCAAGCCATAAGACTCCTGAACAGCTAATCATTGCTACCCGGACTATTTGCACTGCCCCCCCACCCCCACCCCCACCCCCCTCTTTTACGCTGCTGCTACTCTGTCTATTATTTATGCATAGTCACTTTAACTCTACCCACATGTACATATTACCTCAATTACCTCGACTAGCCGGTGCCCCCACACATTGACTCTGCACCGGTACCCCCCTGTATATAGCCTCCCTACTGTTATTTGATTTTACTGCTGCTCTTTAGTTATTTGCTTTAATTTTTTTTACTTAACACTTATATATATTTTTTAATGCATTGTTGGTTAAGGGCTTGTAAGTAAGCATTTCACTGTAATGTCTAAACCTGTTGTATTCGGCGCATGTGGCAAATACAAATTTATTTTATTTGATGTACTTGCAAATATGTAAAAAAAAATATATACCTTTCCAAATGGCATGATATAATGTTCGATGTAGGGGCCAGAGACTGTCTTAGGGTTTTCACTGTCATCAGCTATTACTATGGTGACAGTGGAATAGTATTGTCGCACACTGTCGATGAGATCTTGGAGCTTGTCATAGCGCAGGAACGTTTTGGTTGCTATGGTAACAAGGGCACTGATGTTGTATTCTAGAAGGGAAACAGAGAGAGACAAAAGTTAGGGTATTTGACATTACATACGTTGATCTCAGATGCAATTATTATTTGTTATTTTTTAGTGTTGTGCTGTTCTGACAGATACAGTCGGCCGTTGTATTTGTCGACATACCCCCTTTGGGTCCCGTGTTGTAGAGTTTCGGAGTTACACCATGACGGACCTTGATAGTAAACATGGCTTGGTGACCCTCTGTCTCAAACTGCACTGAAAGACACAGCAAGAGTATTTCCAACCTCATTACCACAAATATATTACAGATGTTATTTGGCATAGGACTTTGATAATGGACAAAACCCAGAAAGAAGTAGCACACAACAGAAAGACAGGTGTGTCTGGCCTCACCAGTGTCTGCTGTACTAGGGTGGAACAGTGTGTTGGTGTAGGTGACAAACTGTAGCTGCCGGTTCAGGTTGGACAGCAGGCTGCTGGTCAGGGTCATGTGCATCTCCCCGTCACCTTTGACCTTTACCCCCTCAACCTCCGCTGCCACGTTTAACGTTCCCAGGGTGGAGGTAAAGTTGACCTGAGAAAGAAAACAATGAAGAGGGAACAAAGAAGATAAGGAATAAGGAAAGATGGCGTTTTTTTACTTGACAAGGACCAGACAGATGGAATAGTACTGGAAATAATAACTCAAACCAAATGTTATTGGTCTACTTACTGTGTACAGCTGTCTGGGATGGTCTTGTACTGCAAGTCCTGAAAACATGACATCAATTTACTGGCATATCTGATGCAGGTGTTGGATGTTTATCCAATCCAAATTCACCACATCAATTGCCAGCTAGAGTAAACACAATTTCTCTGTTGTGCAACAAAACACAATTCTCTGCTCTAAAACAGCCATATAGTGCTGCAGGTTTCATGGTAGTAATAGTGGTAATGGTAGAGATAATAGTTGTCAGTGGTTGCAATAATAGTACTAATAGTAATAATACTGTTAGATTGTTGGAACACTTATTGTCTGTCACTTTAAAAGACAATGAGTTTTATCTCCCTGTAAAAATACCCTGATGAAGATTGTTTGAGACCGAAACGTTGGTGAATAAGATCAGCATCAAGATTACCAGTGTGCTGGAGTTTTTCTTATTTTTAACATTGTTGTAATAGGACAGTCTCCCTGGATTGGTAAGTTGATCAAATTACACTTCTCTTTCTATCATTCACCTATTTGGACAGGTTTCTTGATGAAGGTCTGTCAAGGCGTCAGTGTAATGCGGTAGGACGAAGTCAGGTGCAGGACACAGAGCTAATCGAAAAATGTACTTTACTCGTAGGTATCTAAATGAACATACCTCCACGCAGGGAGGAACAAACCCGCTCACATACGACAACCAATACATGAACAAACACGCACAACACACAGTGTGAGCCAGAGGGTTATATAGGGAAGACATAATTACATGATGGGAAACAGGTGAGACCAATACAGACAAAACAAGTAGAACATAGAAACATGGATCGGTAGCAGCTAGTACTCCGGTGACGACGAACGCCGAAGCCTGCCCGAGCAAGGAGGAGGGGCAGCCTCGGCTGAATTCGTGACAAGGTCGGCTGACCGAAATACATTTGCATCTGACTGGAAGCGTGCAGAGACTTTTTCCTGTTTCTCCAGTTTTGCCTTTTGGCTCCAGCACCTTCATTAATCAGGTCTGGGTGTGCAGTAGATTTAGCCTGTTATCGCTAGGTTTCCATTACAAATTAGGTTTTAAATACATAATTTAACACCTACTGTATTACCTTATAGCCTTATTCTAAAATGGATTAAATATTTTTTCCCCCTCATCAATCTACACACAATACCCCATAACAACAAATGTATTAGGGGGTAGGGAGAGTGTGTATAGTGGATAGGGAGAGGAGATGGATCACCATCACATCCTAGCACCATACTGCAGGTGAGGTGAGAGTTTTTCTTGCTCCAAGTCCTCTACCTCACAGGGTAGAACTTAGCGAGAGGGGGCTGAGTGGGGATGCCCAACCTGCCTTTAGTGTGGTCAATAGGAAGAAATCAATATAGGGAAAAGGCCATTCAAAGAGGGTCAGCACTAAGCAACTACTCAGCACTCATAAATCACACGATGCCCTGCCCTGGTGACCTGCAGGAGTTCAACCCACTGTATAGAACCTAATGCTTGTGTCCAAAGCAACTCCCGTTTCCATAAGGGATGGACATTTTAATCAAGACTATTATAGGTTTTAGTGGGCCTCCCGAGTGGCGCAGCAGTCTAATTTTTTATTTATTTAACTAGGCAAGTCAGTTAAGAACAAATTCTTATTTACAATGACGCCCTACAACGGCCAAACCTGGACCAATTGTGTGCCGCCCTATGGGACTCCCAATCACGTCCGGTTGTGATACAGCCTGGAATTGAACCAGGGGGTCTGTAGTGATGCCTCAAGCACTGAGATGCAGTGCCTTAGACCGCTGCGCCACTCAGGAGCCCTAAGGCACTGCATCGCAATGCTAGAGGCGTCACTACAGACCCGGGTTTGATCCCGGGCTGTATCACAACCGGCCGTGATCGGGAGTCCCATAGGGCGGCACACAATTGTTCCAGTGTCATCCGGGTTAGGGGAGGGTTTGGCCAGGGGGGCTTTACTTGGCTCATTGCGTTCTAGTGACTCTTTGTGGTGGGCCGGGCGCCTGCAGGCTGACCTCGGTCATCAGATGAACAGTGTTTCCCACGACACATTGGTGCGGCTGGCTTCCGGGTTAAGCGGGCGGGTGTTAAGAAGCGCGGTTTGGCGGGTCATGTTTCGGAGGAAACATGACTCGACCTTCTCCTCCCGAGCCCATTGGGGAATTGCAGCAATGAGACAAGATCGAAAAAGGGGGTAAAATACAAAGGTTTTAGTGCCCTAAAGGTTCATGCATGTCACTTGGATTGGGTACTAATTCTTTCTCTAACATTTTTCAAACATGCATCTATATTAGATAGCCCGCTTCAAATAAACTTACTGATACATTCGGAAAGTATTCAGACCCCTTGACTTTTGCCACGTTTTGTTAAGTTACAGGCTTATTCTAAAATTGATTAAATTAAATTTTTCCCTGATAAATCTACACACAATACCCCATAATGACTAAGCAGAAACAGGTTTTTAGAAATGTTTGCTCATTTATTAACAATAAAAAACAGAAATACCTTATTTACATAAGTATTCAGACCCTTCGCTATGAGACTCGAAATTGAGCTCAGGTGTATCCTGTTTCCATTGATCATCCTTGAGATGTTTCTACAACTTCATTGAATTAACCACAGGTGTATTCCAATCGATTGGACATGATTTGGAAAGGCACACACCTGTCTATATAAGGTCCCACAGTCGACACTGCATGTCAGAGAAAAAACAAAGCCATGAGGTCGAAGGAATTGTCCGTAGAGCTCCGAGACAGGATTGTGTCGAGGCACAGATCTGGGGAAGTGTACAAAAACATTTCTGCAGCATTGAAGGTTCCCAAGAACAGAGTGGCCATCATTCTTAAATGGAAGAAGTTTGGAACCACCAAGACTCTTCCTAGAGCTGGCCGCCCGGCCAAACTAAGCAATCAGGGGAGAAGGGCCTTGGTCAGGGAGGTGACCAAGAACCCGATGGTCACTCTGACAGAGCTCCAGAGTTCCTCTGTGGAGATGGGAGAACCTTCCAGAAGGACAACCATCTCTGCAGCACTCCACCAATCAGGCCTTTTATGGTAGAGTGGCCAGACGGAAGCCACTAAAGACTCTCAGACCGTGAGAAACAAGATTCTCTGGTCAGATGAAACCAAGATTGAACTCTTTGGCCTGAATGCCAAGTGTCACGTCTGGAGGAAATCTGGCACCATCCCTACGTTGAAGCATGGTGGTGGCATCATCATGCTGTGGGGATGTTTTTCACCGGCAGGCACTGGGAGACTAGTCAGGCTTGATGGAAAGATGAGCGGAGCAAAGTACAGAGAGATCCTTGATGAAAACCTGCTCCAGAGCGCTCAGGACCACAGACTGGGGCAAAGGTTAACCTTCCAACAGGACACCGTCCCTAAGCACACAGCCAAGACAACGCATGAGTGGCTTCGGGACATGTCTCTGAATGTCCTTGAGTGGCCCAGCCAGAGCCCGGACTTGAACCCGATCTAACATCTCTGGACAGACCTGATAATAGCTGTGCAGTGACGCTCCCCATCCAACCTGACAGAGCTTGAGAGGATCTGCAGAGAAGAATGGGAGAAACTCCTCAAATACAGGTGTGCCAAGCTTGTAGCGTCATACCCAAGAAGACTCAAGGCTGTAATCGCTGCCAAAGTTGCTACAACAAAGTACTGAGTAAAGGGTCTGAATATGTCAATGTGATTTCAGTTTTTTATTTTTATAAATTTGCAAACATTTCCAAAAACCTGTTTTCACTTTGTAATAATGGGGTATTGTGTGTAGATTGATGAGGATGTTTTATTTATTTAATCCATTTTAGAATAAGGCTGTAACGTAACAAAATGTGGAAAGATTCAAGGGGTCTGAATATTTTCCGAATGCACTGTATGTCAAGGTCAAATTAAGCTAATCCCTGTTATTGGTCAGACCTGGGATGAGGATGGTTTTGAGCGGCCGTACTTCCACCCCCTGTGTTGGGTACTGCAGAGGATTGTTGGCCTCGGCCACGATGAGCATATCTGCAGGAGTCTGAGATCTGTAGGGGACAGATACACACCAGTTTAATAATCAGCACTCAAAGCTATTACAGCTAGACTAAAGCCTCATGAACCCTATTAGACTATTTGTTTCAAAGATGGGGTAATGTTGAGCATAACCCAATGACATCATCTCCTTCAAAAGACCTACAGCAAGTTTAACCTAAACCTAAGAATTTCAAAGCTTGGGATTTAATCACATGAAAGGACAGACACAGCAACTTCCCCTAGGGTAAGGAATACCTACGATGATATATGGGAAGTCCTTCCCTTTCAGTTCTGTGCTTTGCTCTCACCTCATCTGGAAGCCCTGGTACTCCTTGGCCCTCCGTTTCTTCATCTCTTCCAGCTCAGAGGCCTCAAAGGCAGTGTGCAGGGGGTGGGCCGACACCCGGGGGAACAGCAGCTGGGCAAAGGGCAGGTTCATGCCCCCACTCTCACCCTCACACACACATCCGTTACGTGCCAACAGACTGGAGACAGACGAAAGGGACGATAGGACTTCATCAATCAAATGACAATGAAACATGATTTCCACCAAATCATCCGTTTATTGAGTCAGAATATTTCAGATTTTAAAAAAGGAATAATTTCAAAGGCCTTATATCAAATACTGACCCTGCAACACTCTCCTTCACGCGATAGGGGATGTTGGCAGATCTGTGGTCTAGTTCTGGGAACCTCTCTACTGCAGGCCCTGGTCTCTGCCAGACATCCACAGTGGTGTAGGCCCGGGTGGGCCAGGAATGGAGGAGGGCCACCACCAACACCACCGACGCCACAATGGCCAACAACACAGTCTTCCTTAAGGAACGCATCCTAAAAACTGTCACAGCACACAAGGACAAACAGGAGACGTTCTGCGGTCACCACCTGCTTGGGCGGCGAAGCAAAAGTCCAACAGTATGTGATTATATCTGAGGTGACAAGATTAGCCTAAGTGCTAGATGAATTGAATGCTGCCATGATTCGGTTATCTTCAGCTACAGTAAATGGCAGCTTACAGTATCACATGACATCTGATTTAACACTTTCTAAACAATTTTGTATTTGTTATGCAACAGGAAAAAAAACTGTCTGGCATCCATTACAGTAAAAGAGAGCTGGTATCATACCCTACTGCCTGTATCCACTCAGAGAGAAGACGTCTCCTGTCGGCCATTGCATCCCCCAAAATCCCATTATGAACAGCTAAGGACTTTCCCCATCTGTAAACAATAACACATACGTTATGTTTATTCAGTAGGATACCTGAAGTAACTTCTAATTTCCAAGGGCACGGTATTAATGGACCAGTGAAAAATATTAATATCGGTGAAAATAAAAACAATAGATCTAGAGGGGAGGAAACTGCGACATGCAGGTACAGCAAAGGAAATGATGTTTAGCAGATATGATGGCCTTTCATGGTGGAGCTGTTAACTGAATGGTAGTGATGATGGTTGTGTTAACACCAGAGAAATGCTGAGCAACGCCGAGGGGGAAAGAAGGCTCTATTTAAGTACGACAATAAGAGCCAAGGGAGATAACAAACTTGTCTGGTTGGTGATCTTTTTCATGATAATTCCCAGAGTGCTAAGATAATCAAACCATTTTATTGACTCAGTTTTAAAGCAGACACGCAAGATCGCTCAGGGTTGTACTAAGTTCGCTAGACTAAAACCTTCCTTTGGAATATGCATCTGCTGTAGCGACATTCCACTTCTGACACCAATGCAGTGAATTCAGGGGTCTCTATGACTATCATTGAAGCAGAATTCATAGTTCACAGCTGTAGAGCCACACCCACAATACTTCACCGACTGATTATGACATTTGGCTGCGTTTACACAGGCAGCCCAATTCAGATCTTTTGCAAATTAGGCTGTGTTTACACAGGCAGCCCAATTCTGAGCTTTTTGCCACTAATTGGTCTTTTGACCAATCAGATCAAATTATTTTGCCAATAATTGGGCAAAAGTTCAGAATTGGACTGCCGGTTTAAACGCAGCCTTATTTGCATATCTAATACCTATCTGATCTTTTACCTAATGTGTAAACAGAAGAAGAAAAAAAACACATGGAGTTGGATCTTTTGACATCCGATTTATACCACCTCCAATTGGCTGCTTTTACACAGGCAGCCCAAATCTGATAATTCTTTCACTAATTGGTCTTTTGACCAATCACATCAGCTCTGAAAAAGATCTGATGTGTTTGGTTAAAAGACCAATTAGTGGAAAAAAGGTCAGAATTGGGCTGCCTGTGTAAATGCAGGTATGTAAATCTGAATCCTGATACAAACCCAATCCTCCAAATGCGACCTCTGTCTGGACGCTCAGATCAGATTTGTGTTTTTATTTTGCACCCTGCCGTTTTTATGATAACCACCCTTAAATTGAAAGGAACAGTGACAGGAAATAAGCATTGTATCTGTGTACTATTTCAGAGGCTACATCAGTGCAAATCTGATATGGGTCACATGTAAAACTGAGTGTGGACAGTCAGAAAAAAAGAATGGATATAGAAAGAAAATCAGATTTGGGTTCTTAGGTTGTCTGTGTAAACACAGCCATACAAACCTCATTTAATTGGCTCATATGAGGCTCGGAAGTCATAATCGTCTGTCAGACTGTCATGTCTGTGGCGGTGAAATATGTTACCAAGACTTCCAGTATTTTCAATAATGAGATATGCACCTTGACTATGACATGAATACCTTCATGGGATTACTACAACTCTTTTATGTACTTTATCACAACCAAATACAAAATAGTTTCAAATCGTGTTCAGAAAACATAATGTTGCTCTCATGTGGAATGTCATTCATTGAGCATTACATACTTACACAGTGTACCTTTAAACAATAGTACAACCTTGCACCGTTCACATTCAAACATAGGACATGCAAATATTCCTACTTTGTGGTACCTTGACCCATCTTACTTATAGGCATAAGGGCTGTAAAGTAAGTAGCCTGACCCCATGCATTAGGCTTAGGCATGTATTTTTCTTACTTGACAGAAATGTATCACATAGTACAATCCCCCCAAAAATATATAGTCTATCAAATTAAAAACAGCTCATTAAGCCTTGAACTTCATAGACAAGTGCATCCAATCATGAGAAAATGTATTTAAGGTGGCCAATTGCAAGTTGTTGTTCTCTTTGACTCTCCTCTGAAGAGTGGCAACATGGGGGCCTCAAAACAACTCTCAAATGACCTGAAAATAAAGATTGTTCAACATTATGGTTTAGGGGAAGGCTACAAAAAGGCTACAAAAAGCTATCGCAGAGATGTAAGCTGTCAGTGTCCACTGTGAGGAACATAGTAAGGAAATGGAAGACCACAGGCACAGTTCTTGTTAAGGCCAGAAGTGGCAGGCCAAGTAAAATATCGGAGAGGCAAAGGCGAAGGATGGTGAGAACGGTCAAAAACAGCCCACAGACAACCTCCAAAGACCTACAACATAATCTTGCTGCAGATGGTGTCACTGTGCATCGTTCAACAGTTCAGCGCACTTTGCACAAGGAGAAGCTGTACGGGAGAGTGATGCGGAAGAAGCCTTTTCTGCACACACGCCACAAACGGAGTCGCTTGAGGTATGCAAACGCACATTTGGACAAGCCAGCTTCATTTTGGAATAAGGTGCTGTGGACTGATGAAACAAAGATTTAGTTATTTGGTCATAACAAGGGGTATTATGCATGGCGGCAAAAGAACACAGCGTTCCAAGAAAAACACTTGCTACCCACAGTAAAATTTGGTGGGGGTTCCATCATGCTGTGGGGCTGTGTGGCCAGTGCCGGTACTAGGAATCTTGTTAAAGTTGAGGGTCGCATAGATTCCACTCAATATCAGCAGATTCTTGGGAATAATGTTGAAGAATCAGTCACAAAGTTGAAGTTACGCCGGGGCTGGATATTTCAACAAGACAACGACCCAAAACACTGCTCAAAATCTACCCGGGCACTTATGCAAAGGATCAAGTACAATGTTCTGGAATGGCCATCCCAGTCCCCAGACCTGAATATCATTGAGAATCTGTGGGATGATTTGAAGCGGGCTGTCCATGCTCGGCAACCATCAAACCTAACTGAGCTGGAGATGTTTTGTAAGGAGGAATGGTCCAAAATACCTTCATCCAGAATCCAGACGCTCATTAGAGGCTATAGGAAGTGTCTAGAGGCTGTTATTTTAGCAAAAGGAGGCTCTACTAAATATTGATGTGATTTTTCTGTTGGGGTGCCCAAATGTATGCACCTGTCTAATTTCGTTTTGATGCATAATGCACATTTTCTGTTAATCCAATAAACCTAATTTCACTACTGAAATATTACTGTGTCCATCAGTTATTTGATAGATCAAAATGAAATTGCTGATCCAAACACCCAATTATTTATAAATGGAAATCATGGAAATTGTCAGGGGTGCCCAAACTTTTTCATACGACTGTAAGTCATATATTAGTCCAAGATTTTTACTTTATGAAAGCCACAACAATGTTTCGACATGGTGACCAATGATGTCATATACAGTAGCCAGCCACCCACTGGTCATTTATTTCTCTGGTCATTATCACAGAGCACACTGATTTCCCTTCTGATTAATTTGGTTGTAGTGTATGTAGGAGGCAGGGAGAGTGTGTGTAGGGGGTAGGGAGAGCATGTATAGTGGGTAGGGAGAGTGTGTATAGGGGATAGGGAGAGTGTGTGTACGGGGTATGGAGAGTGTGTGTAGGGGGTAGGGAGAGTGTGTATAGGGAGTAGGGAGAGGAGATGGATCACCATCACATCCTAGCACCATACTGCAGGTGAGGTGAGGGTTTTTCTTGCTCCAAGTCCTCTACCTCACACGGTAGAACTTAGCGAGAGGGGGCTGAGTGGGGATGCCCAACCTACCTTTAGTGTGGTCAATAGGAAGAAATCAATATAGGGAAAAGGCCATTCAAAGAGAGTCAGCACTAAGTATAGTATTCAGACCCCTCTTTGTGAGACACGGTGTGGGTGAACGGATTATCTCCGCATGTGTAGTTCCCACCGTAAAGCATGGAGCAGGAGGTGTTATGGTGTGGGGATGCTTTGCTGGTGACACTATCTGTGATTTATTTAGAATTCAAGGCTCACTTAACCAGCATGGCTATCACAGCATTCTGCAGCAATACGCCATCTCATCTGGTTTGGGCTTAGTGGGACTATCATTTGTTTTTCAACAGGACAATGACCCAACACACCTCCAGGCTGTGTAAGGGCTATTTTACCAAGAAGGAGAGTGATGGAGTGCTGCATTAGATGACCTGGCCTCCGCAATCCCCCGACCTCATCCCAATTGAGATGGTTTGGGATGAGTCGGATGGCAGAGTGAAGTAAAAGCAACCAACAAGTGCTCAGCATATGTGGGAACTCCTTCAAGACTGTTGGAAAAGCATTCCAGGTGAATTTGGTTGAGAGAATGCCAAGAGTGTGCAAAGCTGTCATAAAGGCAAAGGGTGGCTATTTGAAGAATCTCAAATATAACATATATTTATATTTGTTTAACACTTTTTTGGTTACTACATGATTCCATATGTGTTATTTCATAGTTTTGATGTCTTCATTATTATTCTACAATGTAGAAAATAGTTGAACTTGAACCTGATTGAGCATCTCTGGAGAAACCTGAAAATAGCTGTGCAGCGATGCTCCCCATCCAACCTGACAGAGCTTGAGAGGATCTGCAGAGAAGAAATTCCCCAAATACAGGTGTGCTAAGCTTGTAGCGTCATACCCAAGAAGACTCAAGGCTCTAGTCGCTGCTAAAGGTGCTTCAACAAAGTACTGAGTAAAGGGTCTGAATACTTATGTAAATGTTATATTTTCAAAGATTTCTTAAAACCTGTTTTTGCTTTGTCATTATGGGGTATTGTGTGTAGATTGATGAGGGGGGGGGGACTAATTAATCAATTTTAGAGTAAGGCTGTAATGTAACAAAATGTGGAAAAAGTTAAAGGGTCTGCATACTTTCCGAATGCATTGTACATCAAATTATCAATGCTTTTCACCATGAATGCAATAGCAACCCCTGTGGTGTAAGATAGCAGTGTGTTTTGCATTTAGGCTGACTCAGAGGTGGAGTGGTTGGTCTGCTTTGCTTAGCTGCCTAGTTCTACTGGTTATTGGGGGCGGAAATTAGGTGGAAATGACGTGTTTCAGAAATGTTCATCTCCATATCTGGACTGCTGGAGTAGG